ATTACCAATGGACTGATTCCCTCCCTCCTTCCCTCCCTACCCCCCCCTCTCTCGTGAAACAAATTATCATGCCTTAATCCCATCACTCTGGAGCCGAAGGGGAGAACTCTTTATTATGTAAAGTGGACTAGCTCAGGCTTTAATGGCTCATTGGCAAAGGGGAATGGGCAGGAAGCTGCAGGGAGCTATTCTGTCTTTTAAAACATGTTTCTTCCTTTTCACATCCAGAGAAATATTCTGCCTTTTCAATATTTCCTAGGATATTTTATTTTTCTGGGAGAGGGCTGGGTGATAACTTTCACACACTAGGACTAAGAGAAAGTGACTGGCTCAAGGTCATCCAACTGATTTTGTACCATTACAGCATGTAATCCCGCCAATTTACTGCATGATGCCTTACCCACTGTACTACCTTTATTATACAGGACCTATAATTTCCCATTAAACAAAGATTTTCCTTCTAAATGCTGGAGGCACCATTTCAATAGCTCTCATGACTATGAAAGAAGCTGAATGCTGCCTACTCTTATGATAAACTGAAAATTTACTCAAACCATGCTCTATTTGGTTGTTGTTTTTTAGCTAGACTTGTTATTTTTCTTTCAGCTCCTCTAAGTCCATTTCAATTTAATTCAGAAAGTTTTTAATGGTAAGATCTTATTGCTACAAGAATATGATGCTAATAGAGGTAGAAATACAAGACTGCTCATATCCTTGGAACTGAAATGAGCAGAAGCTCGGAAGATAAAACTATCTCCTAAGCAGTTAAAAGCTTTTTGTGCATTAGAAAAGCAATTGGGAGAAGTTTGGGGAAGAAAAGCATTAATTTCCCTCCGTTGTGTTGTACAGCTTGGTGCTCAGAGCAGTGATTATGCTGAACAATGGAATCAATTTGTTTTGCAGTCACCTTTTACAAAGTTTGACCTAACAAGGGAAGGTGTTACTTTAACTCTTCCCAACCTGTTCCTGCAAATGGCAGCTACATCCTTTCTAGCTGGCTGCCTCATTCTTTCATCTGGGTGAAGAGCAGCCAAGAACTGGAAAATGAATTTCCTCAGCATTTCAAGGCTCTCCCTGCACTCTGCCTCTCTCTACAAAATGGGTGCAAACGCTTCACATCTCAAATAAATTACTCTGTTAAATTGCCCTTGGTAGAGAAAGAGCTTCTACTTCAACAGACATAAAATAAAAGGCAGTACAAGAGGTTTTCTTTTTCCATTAAACCAAACTGTGACAAAAGCTTTGCATAAAATTTTACATACTACGTATATAGTCTATTTTCCATCATCCCCAACCCCCCAAAGGTCAGCTGTGATGCCTCATCATGTTCCTGGGGGTGGTGGTGGTGGTGGTGAGCAAAGAACATCGGGAGGGTATGTCAAATGTATACTTCTCAGCAAGGTCACCCAAAGCATCATCCCATCTGCCCAATTAAAGCAAGCAGGTACCTATACTGGACAATAGCATGTAGAAAGATGCAGGAGATAGATCAGTGATGGCAAATGTTTTTGGCACCAAATGCCTAAAAGGGAGCGTGATGCTCGTCTGGCCTACAGCCCGGAAGAGGAGCTGCCCAGGGGGCATGCGCTGCTGGAAATGCATGCTTGTCAGCTAGTCTTCCGGTTACTGGCGCACATGTGCACGTAACAATCAGCTGGCCACCATGCAAGCACATACCAGAAAACGGAAGACCAGCTCTTTCAGTTTCGGCACTGTCATATGCACAAAGGCCAGCTGACCATTGAGCATGCATGCATGTCAGAAGACCAGATATTTTATTCTTTTACATACAATTATAGGTATACATTCACATAGTTCTTCTTCTTTACATTTGTCATGCTTATACATTTGTTATTCCATTTAAAAGGTTATAATATACAATTTGGGTTGCTTTATTTACCATCCCACCCATCTATTTTAATACCACCTTATTTTCCCTTTCTTTTCTCCCTCCCTCCCTTCTCTACTTCCTTCCTTCCTCCTCTCCTTCCCCTTCCTTCTTCCTTTACCTCTCTCCTACTCCTACTCTTCCTCTTCCTACTCTCTCTCCTTCTCTTTCTATACCTTCCACCCTCCTCTCTTCACCTTTACTACTTGTTGAATCAGAATCCCCTGCCTGATTGACTTTTTCCTAACCTTGCTTTTTGGTTTTCTACACATTCTTACCTTTAATTGGGGATGAGGCAGTGGTGGGTTTCAAATTTTTTTAGAAACCTCTTCTATAGGTGTGGCCTGCTTTGTGGGAGTGGCTTTCCAGCCATGTGACCAGGTGGGAGTGGCTTTCCAGTCATGTGACTGAGTGGGAGTGGCTTGCCAGTCATGTGATTGGGTGGGTGTGGGCAACTTGTAAAATGTGGTGAAACTCACTTAACAATGCCCTTCTTAGCAACCAAAATGTTGGCTCAGAAATTCTGACATTTGAAGCACGCAAGTCTTAAAGCTGTCAAGTTANAAAAATGCAAGTAGAAAAATAGGAAACACCTTTGGTGGGAAGGTAACAGCGTTCCGTGTGCCTTTGGCATTTAGTCATGCCGGCCACATGACCACAAAGATGTCTTTGGACAGTGCTGGCTCTTTGACTTTGAAACGGAGATGAGCACCACCCCCTTTGAGTCAGGAATGACTAGCACATATGTGCGAGAGGAACCTTTACCTAAAGAGCAACATTATATAATTCCAGGGACTATTCTTTACTTGTGCAACTCTACAAGAATGTTACAGGTTCCAGAAATCTTAGGCAGCATGGGGGGGTGGGGTGCAAATTCACCATTGACAAAAGGAATTCCGGGAGGTAATGATAGGGAGAGCAATAAGTTATTATATCAGTTGTCTCAATTAGGCATTGGTTCCAAGTTTGTCAAGTAGTATGAAAGACTATTTAGAGTGGACTACTGGTGATTCCAAATAAATAATCCTATGTACATAACAAACAGCATTGCTGAAATAAAATTAAGAAGATATCATTTCATTTGTGTTGCTGTTCCTTCACCTCCATTGAAAAGTGTACTATAAGATGCCAAGATATCTGAAGATTTGTTGTCTATGTTAATAACATGGTAACATGAGATTTTTAAGCTATTATACTGTAGAGCAGGGGTGTCAAACTGGCGGCCCACAGGTCAGATGCATCACTTGCAGGCCACACCCACCCCAGCTCCACGAAGAGGGAAAATGTCACGAAACATTATGTGATGGCAACATGATCCCACGAATTTGACACTCGTTCTGTAGAGTCTTTCCCAAAACTGACCAGCACCTTCTACATATAAGTAATTTTGGATTTCCATAGACAATCAACTCTTCCAGAAGACTTTGAAGAATTCTATCATTGGTTAATTGTTTTGCTGCTACTGTTGCTGCTGTTAGAGATGGTGGTGATATTTTTATTTTATTCAACATTACTTTATATATTATGTTGTGGGATGTGTGTGTGTGTGTGTGAATGTTCGTTTGTTCAAAATCTTAAATCTCTGAAAGTTCTTCAACGATTGCTTTGAAATTTTGACACAATGTTGCATTCGAATACGCACGTGTTTTTATATACCTACTATTATATAGATGTCACACCTGTGACTATTATATAGATGTCACACCTGTGACATGCTTTTTTGAAAACCAGCACCATCTGTTGGACGTAAAAGCAACACATGCTATACTAAATATTTTACGATTCCATTTCAATGTTTCCGATTGCATTGTTATATTGAATTTTCATAGNTGTGTGTGTGTGTGTGTGTGTGTCTGTGTGTGTGTGTGGTCTGTGGCTGACTTGCATCAGGTTAGTATACAAGCCACTGACAAAAATGGTTGTGTACTACCACCCTCTAGAGGTCTGCTGCTTTGAACATAAAAAAGGAGGAACTAAGGCATTATTTCTTTTTTATTTATTTCTTGAACAGATTTATATTCTGCCTTTCTTCAGGAGCTCAAAATGTCCTATATAGAAATTATTCTTTTTCAAAGCAAGTTTGAAGTTTTCAACTTCTAGATTTTTTTTTTATTTTGGCTTTCCTATTTGAAAAATGAGTGTGCTCATTTTAACAATAGTAGCTTTATCTTTAGCTTTCCAGTAACTTAACAGCTGGTCTGTCTTGGTTACCACACAAATTTAATTTTATTAATTATTTTTTTAAACAGTCATTTGTTCTTTCTCTAGAGACATTGCTGCTCGAAATTGCCTCCTTACTTGTAAAGGTCCTGGAAGAATAGCTAAAATTGGAGATTTTGGAATGGCCAGGGACATATATAGGTGAGAAATATTGGTTATTATTTCTTATTCAAACTATTATAACTTCTATAAGGGGATATATAACATTCCTTTATTATTTGATTGTATGCATTGGTCTTTTTCAGATATTTATATTTTGCGGTACCCAGGAGGACATTGTATGCAGTCTTCACTAAAATTCATTCTGTGGAATTTCCTTAGATTACTTTTATTGTTATTTTATCAATCACTTTTGGTATTGCACTAAAACAGAATCCTCTCCAACCTTGTTTTCTCTACTTTCATCATACCATATCCTGAAGCTTTATCCCTCTTTGTGTTGACATACACACTCTTGCGCTACTGTCTCTGTTTATTGCATATAAAAGTAGGGAAGGGTCAGGAAAAGGCAATTACTGACTCTGGAATTTCTCCAGGGCACCAGGATTAATGATTCTTCAGTTGTTAAATAGGAAGACTTTAATAATCTACTATAGTACAGTAGATATTTTTGATAATGTAGTTACTGTCCTCGCAGTGCCCTCTAATGTCATCCTGGAGAAGTACTTCACCACATATCGCTGTACAGTATTGATTTGGGCAACAAACCAAAAGCTTGGACTATTTATAAGCAGGGTGGGATAAGGGGATTTTCTTGACACTTTGCAAGTTGAAAACTTCTCTTTGAGAATGCATTCTTCATAGTAAACATGCAAGATATAAAAGAAGTGTTTGGATTATTCATTCCGGGACAATGAGATTTATGGGCATATGTCAGGCAACTAAAATGAATCTACAATTACTAGTATTATTTAAGGCAGTGGTGGCTTAGAAATGGCAAAACCCATAGCCCTCAATGCAGTTAGAGAATTCCAGCTTTAGGAGGCTGGTTTATATAGTCACATCACTTATAATGTCTGCAAAAAACACCATGGCTCAAAACAGCCCAAGTTGCAAATGAGATAACCTCATTTCTGCCTATCCTTTGTCAGATGAGGCCAAAGCAAGGGCAGTTTTGTGAAAGGATCACTGAAAGCCAAGTATAAGATGGCAAGAGCCATAATAATCAGATCTTCTGTCCTGTGAAAATGAAGAAAAATTTAAGCAAGGATAGGAGAACCCAGATCAAGACTTAAGCATTCATGTTATGGGACACAGCTTTGGCCAGCCTTGAATGATGCCATTTGTTGGAGTGGGTGAAGCCAGATAGAAAACTAGATTTGCTATGATTCTTCTGAATTTAAACTGAATTTAAACTATATACGGTTAATATCATTACTCTCTAATTATGTATTTACATATTCACCACATAGGGAGACAAATTTTCTCCAAAATGTACATTGATGGGATACCTTATATTCTCTGATTGAAAATACTAAAAGCTAAAAAAAGAATTTATTGGAAACCAAGGTTTGCCAGAGAAGTGGCCACGGGCCTTCTACTAGGAAGGAGATCACTTTGAAGAAGAGCAGGAAGCTTACATCCTGCTTGGAAGGGCTGGGGAGGTTCAACTCTTTCTAACCCTAACTGGGTTTTCTCCCTTTTCCTTTTCTCTAGCATTATCCCATGCTTTGCTTCTGTCCCATTTTTTTAAACTCTTGTTTGCCCTTTCCATTCAGTCATCACTTTACTTTCTTTCTCTCTCTTTCTCTTTTATTCCCAACTTTTGCCATTTTTACTGGAAGACAGGAGGTCAGTCCCTGTGTTTCATGTGAAGGTTGCATTGTGTGATTTTGTGTGAATAGTGCACTTGTCTCTGAGAAAGAATGGCACAACAGGAGATGATTCATTGGCTTGCAAATGGAGCACATTATTTTGCAGACTGTTCGTTTCATTAAATAATTAATTAATGCAATATTATTTGTGTGGAATGTGTTCCATACAAACATTTGTTTATTTATTGGGTTGGCGCTCTCTGGCAATGGATTCATGTAGAGTTGACATATCTAGATGGACAAAGTAGAAAAAGCATTGGACAGTTTTTTGCTTTACGGTCTCTCATTTCTTATTTATGGAAATCTCCTGAGATCTAAGGCCATCTCCTTTTGGGTAATTGCTTTAAAATGTCCTCCTTTTCTACATTTTATAGGTTTCTAGGACAAATGCTAAGAGTTGTGTTTTGTAGTTTACGTTAAAGAATAAAGATTCCAACTCTCCTTTTCCACTTACTATTCTGTCAAACACTGGAGAAATTAGGAGATTCAGGCAGTGTAAAGATTCTCTACAATAATCTGAGCTACTAACAATCAAGGGAAATGAGTGGGATTAAGAAAGCATTCACGGCGGGCTGGCCTGAGATCTCTTTGGGGAGCATGCAGGGACTCGTGACTGATGATGCGTTTGACTTCTCCCTCGGGCTGAGTCATTTCTTCCATATTACCTATCTCTACTCCCAAAGTTTCACTTTGCTCTGTGGGAGAATGCATTGAACCCACACATGACAGAAATGCCCCCCTGGCCTTCTGAAATCAGGTAAATCCCTAAAATTCTCACCTGGTCCCACGTTGCAATTTATAGGTACAGTTTGGTTTCTCAGACTCAAACTGTTGCCATCAAAGAATGGAACTATTGCTTCAATCAAATTTAGGGATGTAATTATACATAACAAAGAATCATAGACACCTTTTCCCTTATTCAGAAAAGTAAAAGACGGATATTCCTCCTTTTTCTTATAAAAGGGAGAATTTGCCCTATTGTTTCAAAAAGAAAAAAAGTCTCACGGCTGCCATCAACAGAGCTCTCAGAGCCACCCACTTCAATCAACTGCTGAAGGAGCCAATACTTAACTCTTGTTAATATTCTTGCCTCGACTGCAGAGCCAGCTACTACAGAAAAGGAGGGTGTGCAATGCTGCCTGTCAAATGGATGCCACCTGAAGCCTTCATGGAAGGGATATTTACATCCAAAACAGATACCTGGTAGGCTTGCTCAGAATTTTCTTTCCATTTTGCAAGCCAACAGCTGCTCGTGGGTTTAAAATGTCACTGCCCGCATTTTTTTTGGTCCGATAGAAGCCGAAAAGTTCTTTAAGCATGCCTTTTTCTTCTGCCAAATAATACAGCTTGTCAAACAGGTGCCACAGTTCCTTGACACACTATAGAAATGAGTAGATCCAAAGCCACCGACAGAAAATAGAAAGAATGCAACCTCTCAATATGGTGAATTTAATAAAAAATAAAAGAAGTAGAAAATACAAATTGGAAAAATAGTAGAAGATGATAGATAGATAGATAGATAGATAGATAGATAGATAGATAGATAGATAGATAGATAGATAGATAGATAGATAGATAGA